CCTCTGCCTCATTTCTGGGTGAGCAGAGAGAATGAAAGGTGCAGGGTGTCCTGGGAGCATCTGGCTTTTCTAGGGATCAATTCCGGTCTCCCTGACTTTCTGAGACTGTGTAGATTCAAGACCAGGAGGTTCCTGTGACAAATCCAATCGAAACTCCTCTAGAACCTCCCTGGCCACCGGGACCTGGGGGAGGGGGGTGGGGGGCGACACACACTCTTCGTCAGACAGCATTTCCTAGTGCACGATGCAGCCGCTAACGCCCCAGGCCCACACCTGCATCCGTTTCACAGCCTCGTGAAGGACACCCAGGGCAGCCTAGGCAGTGTAGTAGGAGCACACACCACCACACCACACAACATGCAGAAGCATGAGAAGATACCGTGGCAGGGGAGCAAAGCACCGGCTCTGGGGTCCGACAGTCAGGGTTGGGTGCCCCCTCCGCACTTATCTGCTCTGCAACCTTAGGCAACTTACTTCTCCCCCAAGTCTTCCCTGACTTGTAGTGATAGTACCTACTTCATAGGGCTCTTCAGGGAATCGAAAGTGATAGTATTCGTGAAATGTTTAGCAGAGTGCAAAACCAAAGAACCATAGGAATAGAATGTATTTACTTCTAACTAAAATGTGCCCGAATTAAAAGAGGAGAAATAAAAGCTGTCAGATTTTGTCTTTGTTTTTTTTTTTTTTGGCCGTGCCGTGCGGCATGCGGGGATCTTAGTTCCCCGACCAGGGATCGAACCCATGCCCCCTGCATTGGGACTGTGGAGTCTTAACCACTGGACCGCCAGGGAAGTCCCAAAAGCTGTCAGATTTTGAACACATAAGTTCCCTGTGGGGCAGAGGTTAGCATCTTGGGGAAGCTATTAAAAGTATGTAAACTCTGTGAGGCAGAGATCTTGCCTGTCTTACTCATCACTTATCTCCAGGCCTTTATGCAGTGCCTGTTCCATAGTATGGCTCAATAGATGATGTATGGACGGGTGAATGGATGGATGAATGAATGTGTGGGTGGGTGGATGGATGGATGGATGGACAGATGAGCCACAACACAAAAGTGCTGTCCTTCAATTACAAAGAGGACTGCCACTGGAGAGTTGATCTCCTGTGCCACTCTCTCAGTGAACAGCACCTGCCATCAATCATGCCACCTAAGACAAAAACTTGGTGTCACTTTGGCTATTCTTTCTTACTCACTCCTTACAACAAACCAGCCCTGTCAGTTCCACCTCCTATATTTTAGCTTGTGAATCCCTTCTCTTCTCCTGAGCCCTACTGTCACTACCTTTGTTCAGGTCCTTCCCAATTCTCTCCTGGGTTTCTCCTGAGTTTCTACACCACCTAAAAACCATTCTCCAGGCCTCCAGTCTGTACCCACCCCTTGCAGTCCACTCTCCAGACTTGGGACAGAGTGATCTTTAAAAAGCACAAGTCTGTTCAGGTCACTACTGCCACCCCCTATCACCACCCCCACTTAAGGATGGTCCATGACACACTACAGACTTCAAGATAAAGCTCAAACACCTACACATGGCATCCCAGCTTTTATAATCTTGCTCCTATCTGCCCTTCCAGCCTTATCTGGCCAATCCACCCCTCCTTGAGTTCCAGATCCCCTCTAGCAGGTCTATGCTCTCTCTTACCCTGTGCCATTGCTTGGGCTTTTCCCTCTGCCTAGAATGTTCTTCCTCCACCTTCCCTATTCCTTTCCACATCCTTCGGAACTCATCATCCACCTAGGATGAGTGGTGGTCCCACTAAGAATTGGATGTCCCTCCTCCTAGGTGGTCCCAGTGCTTAGCACACGACCCTATGATCTGTTTCCTTGGCTGCCCTTCCCAGGTGTCTGGCCCGTGGAGTGCTGTGTTTTGTCCTCCATTGCACCTAGTACACCCTATCTAGTCCTGGCACAACGAATATTTCTTGACTCGATAACTACTTTGTCTCACGCCAAACGTGCCCTTTCTCAAAAGCATATTTGCAATCAGCATCACGTCTTGGACAATTATGTGACCAGTCAAGATAATTAACCAAGGATTAGGGTGTGGTCTGTGACTCTGGAAAAAATCTATTAGATTAGACATGTTGGGAACATGTATTTTTAACCAAAAGTCAAGACACATGATCTGACAAATACGATCACATATTTTTCTGTCCCAGAAAAATTCGAATGTATAATGTCTACGGCTACCCAACCTGATCTGTCATTTAACCTTATTATGTTATCCAAACATGCCAGCTCAAAAGACATTGAAATTATAACTGATAAGTAAGTAGCTGACAGTTTTGGTGAGTTTATCATGCAGCAAGCATTATAGGAAGTGCTTTGCAGTCATCCCATTTAATCTTCTCAACTACCCCTTGAAGCGGATCTTTTTATTATCTCCACTTTACAGATCAGGAAACTGAGGCTTAGGTTACACAGCCAGCAATGGACACTTAACCAGCAATGGAATAGCAGTCTGTTTGATCCTCTCAGTCATTCTGTGATACTGACCTAACCATGACCTCTTAACCTTATTAGATCATCAGAAGAGCCACTTCTGGGCAAAAAATAGCTTGTGGCTTCTGGAAACTTTTATTAAAACTCTAAATCTCCTGGCAATAACTTTCAAAAGTCATGATTCAGACCAGCAGTGATATTTGAAAGTGGAATCATAATGCGGGTCTCCTGGCTGCAGAGATGCTCTCACTGCTGGAGAGGCATCCTCCACCTTGACATGTATGACAATCTGTGTTTTTCCTATTACTGGGTCTTTTGCCATCACTGTCTATTGAAAGGCACTGACCCTCATTCTGTCCTCCCTGAGGAATCCTCTCTTTCAGGGTTAATCGGTCTGTCCTCTTCCTTGGGTGTCATTTCACTGGGATCTAGAGCAATGTTTCTCAAAGTCCAGACAGCTGACCACCTGCATAATGATCACCTGGGCACTCATAAAAATGCGTAATCCTGGGCCCCGTCCCACAGCTATCACACAGAATCTCTACAAATTGGACCCCAGGAACTAGCATTTTAATCACATTCGCCAAGTAATTCTTATGAATACTAATGTCTCAGAACCACAAATGTAGTCTCCAGATCCTCACAGCTCCAAGTGTGATCCCTGGACCAGCATTAGCAGCTTAGTAGAAAACAAGGAATTCTTATGCCCAAATCCTGAAGGACTGAATCAGAATTTGCATTTCAATGAAATCCCCAGGTAGTTTGTATTCCCATTACTGTGCATACAGAGAACTAGTGATCAGAGCAGTGTTTCCTATGCATATCATGGCAGGCATAGAAAACGAAAGCATTTGTTTGGCATTTCTGTCACACAGAAGAGAATGCCAGCTGTGGCATGGGGAGGGTGGTGCTCAGCCTGCCCCAGACCCCAACCTGGCCACCCTGAAGGCTGAGGAGATTGGTATCTCAGGCGTACCTGTGCCGCAGCACGCTGGTTGAGAAGCAGTGGTCTACTTAGAGCACACCCAGTCCTTCTAACTTTCTTCATGAGCATAACTCCATAAATCTTGCTTATTCTTTTTTTTTTTTTTTTTTGCGGTACGCGGGCCTCTCACTGTTGTGGCCTCTCCCGTTGCGGATCACAGGCTCCAGACGCGCAGGCTCAGCGGCCATGGCTCACGGGCCCAGCTGCCCCACGGCACGTGGGATCTTCCCGGACCGGGGCACGAACCCGCGTCCCCTGCATCAGCAGGCGGACTCTCAACCACTGTGCCACCAGGGAAGCCCTGCTTATTCTTATTTCCTTCATCATTTGTCATTTCTTCTCTTGCATACCAAGAGTCAGAAATCTTCCCAACTAGGTCTTAGAACTAGGTCTTAGAAATCTTCACGCAATGGGAGGACACAGTCTCATCTTCAAGTTCTAGGTGGACTCTTTGAGAAATGTAGAGAGAAAAGTTTTGTCTGTTATTCTAAACAGTATGACCTAAGGAATACTAGGAAGAAATAAGAGCCTTCTTCCCTTTGAAGAATGCTCCTTTCCTCTTAGTCCACAGATCTGAGGATGGAGGATCCGCAACACGCAGAGCGGCATCCTCTCTCCTGAAGAGTGTGCCAAGAAGAATGTGATTTTTTAAAATCCTTCCTCAGCAGAATCTATCAGCTTATGAACTGGACAGTGTCCCTTCTCTTAGCCAGCCCCTGATAAGGGGATGACAGTTGGCATGGAAGGAATGGAATACCTTCAGAAACACTTCCTGGTGAGACCATCTGATCAGAGCGACCAAGTGTCAGGACACACCATCTGACTTCGCAAAGCTCCCGGCTGCGTGGGAACCCCATTGTGTTTCTTTCTTTCCCCCAATAAGGAAAATGTTGAAAATTTTTAAAGTTCAAAATAGTGAGCTCTTACTTTGAAGCAAATAGAACAAGGATTGTCATAGCCTAAGCAAACACAGTTGAGAAAGAAGTGGGGGGAAGTATTGCTAGCAAACAACTCGCGTTTTTTTCTTCTCTTTCCACCTTGCCTGCAAATCTGTGTCCAATTCTCTCCACTCTGCTTCTCCCAATCAAAGCACAGGCAAAGAAGCACACATTTTCGCTGGTTTAATGTTGGGCTGTTCCCCCTCTGTCCTGAGAGTGTACATCCCTCAAGTCTCAAAGGGCTGTCTGATCGTCCCTTTGTACCCCAGCTATTGAAGTTCCTCTGCGTTAGTAGTAGAAAGGACAGTGACCAGAGCATGCTGTCCCTTGCCGCCTCTGGTTGACTTTCATGGAACTCCTCCCTTGATCCAGATACGGAGGCAAAGCAGGCCTTTCTCCTTCTCTGACCAGGAAGTTCACAGATCTGTTGGCAGTTCACCCAGAGTAGCCGTGATGTCTAAGAAATAAATGGGTTTTTCTCTAAGTTCATAGCAAGAACGGTTGGTTAAAAATGTTCCATCCCTGATACGATTAACAAGTACTGAAAACATAAGACTGGGGACACCGACAGCAGAGCTGTTGTACACGACCATTTCAAACACAGAACACTGAGTCATCTTTCTGCTTCGTGGTCCAGGATGAAGAACAAGCTGTGGTACTTTGAATTCGGCACCTCAGAGACCTTCGCAGCCACCTGCAAGAAACTCCACGACCACATAGAGTTGGAGGTGAGTTCCCAAGGCTTGCTGGACCTTGGTTCTGCTCCTGGACTGTTAACGTACCCTCAGGACATGTCCTGGAGCGTCCTCAAGAGGTGATCCCAAGTGTAGTCCATTGTACATCCATCCTGTTCCCAACACATCCACGGCCTCACTCCCAGGAGGCTCTAGTCACAGTGCCTGCCTTTCTCGGCTCATCCAGACCTAGAGGCCCAGTGGACCCAGGTCCGCAGTCCCTTCCAGCCCCCAGCCCTCTCCCCACTGTGGCCTTGAAATTTCCCCTTTTCCGAGAGGTGAAGGCAGGTGCTGCCCACGCAGGCAGAGGAGCTGCTGTGAGGGTAGAGGCAATGTCCCAAGCCTGGTAAAAGTCTGGGAGCTGATGGCCACAGGGCTGAGGGGTCTGGGGTTGAGGCCGCAGGTAGCCAGACATCCCCCAGCTCGCCCGCCTCTGCTTTCAAGGAGCTGACTCACAGGCACCCAGGGCCGGCTTCATGGGTGTGCAACCTGCACAGTCGCTCAGAAGGCCCTTGGTTTAATGCTCTTCTGACACTGTCTTGAAATTCTTGATGATTTTTTAGCAAAGGGCCCTGTATTTGCATTTTGAACCAGGCCCCTCAAATTACACAGCTGACCCCACTGGTGCACTCGTGTTTTCCTCGCTCTGCTGGCACTTGGAGCAGCCTGCCTCAGACACTTGGCTTGTCAGCTTCCCTTCCCGGTGGATAACCTGCCCACTTCCCACCTCTCACCCCGCATCTGCTGGGCTGCTCTCGTGAGGTCTTGTCACTTCTATGAAAAGGTCTGCTTGGTCTCTGACCACCTGAAAGCCCAAACTTCTCTGCACACCTGCTGCGGGACCTCAGGCCCATCGGGTCCCTTGCCCATAGTTCTCAGTTTACCAACCCGCACCACCCCCTCCCCCAACCCCTTCCCATGGTATTCAGGCCTGTAGTCTTGTTTTCACTTGAGAAGAACAAGTGAAAGGCCGTCAGAGAGTTCGGCCAGGATGGGCTCCTCCCGGCCCATGGGCTTTGTCCCTAAGCCTGCAGTAGCAGTCAAGGGGGTCCCGGGCATCCCTTGGGGGAGGAGCCCTTCGCCTGAAGCAGTGTGGGAAAGCCCTGCCACTCCCTGCAGAAGGGAGCCTGCATTCACAGGGAGTTTTCACAAACAAAACACAAAGCCAGAGATTCTGTGCTTCTCTTTGACTCATCTGCCTGTCTCTCCCCAGCGGTTGCCGGGTTACCAACCCCAGGGTGGGAGGCGCCGCCCCAGCTAATCCCCTGAACTTTTAGCCAGCTCAGTCAGAGGGCAGAGAGGCCCAGGAGCCAGGGGCACATGTCCCCAGGTGGTACCACCTCCACCGGGGAAAGGCTGAGGAGCCCGCTGTGCCCGCTGTACTCTATGGATATGTAAATCCACGGCCGGGGAGCTGCAGGGAGGGAGGAGAGGGCTGGGCTGCAGACTGAACGTAGCTGGAGCGATGTGAGCATCTTTGCTGTTGGCATGATCATCTGCTGGGGTGTCTTTAATACACCCCAAGTGAGGGACAGCCCTGGCCTAACCACTGCCAGCTGCAGACACACAGCGACCGCTTGTTCTCCCTGCAGCTGGCCTGGAAACTGTGCCCAGAATAGAGCAGCTCAGCTCCCCTGCCTCTGTGGGCTCCGCCCTCCCAGCTCCCAGCCGGCAGCACCCTGGCCCCCTCCGAGTCCAATACTCAGTGGCTCTTCTTCAACCACAGAGGGGGCTGGTGGCCTCTGCAGGGGGTGAGGTGGTTCACACTGTGGGTCGTTGGGGGCTTTGGGAGCACGTCTTATTTTCCTTAGCTCCCCATAATGAGTCTTTAGTATTTATTCAGGACGCTAAAGATGGGGGGCTCATATGACAGGCAGCTTCTCACAGCCCGGAGGATTTGGGGCAGGCATCATTCTGTATCCAGGGAGCAGTGGGTGGACAGTCCTGGGTCTTGTGATCCAGAGGAGGCGAAAGAGACAGAAGGGGGAGGCGTGTGAGTGACAGGTGTAAGGAGCCTACAGGGCACCACAGGTAGATGTGAGAGCATCAGGGGCCTCAGGAAGAGCAGTAAGAGAAGGTATGTTAAGTGACCTTCTACATGTGGTCACTGCACACAACAGCCCAGGCCTGGGAGGACCAGCACGCTCATCAGTTCAAGGTCAGAGACCCCGGGAATAACCCCACACCGGTATTTATACTACACGCCATCGTTTCCAAAGCCCTCCCACAGCCTTTATTCCAGAGTCACACAACAAGCAGTGAGCTAAGTAGGCCAGGTATTCTTATCCCCTCATCACAGAAAGCAAGCTGAGGCACGGAGGTTTAGAAAGATAAACAGGAGAGAAAAGCAACAAGGGAAGACGGAAAAAAAATCACAGGCTCTGACTGCCTACTGTAATGTGTCCTCATTCGATACAATAACCCAGTGAGGCAAGTATTATCATATTTTGTTAAATGAGGAAACTGAGGCTCAGATACATTAAGTAACTTGACCAAGATTTCATTGCTGGAAACTTGTAAGACAGGAGATTTTAGGCATCCTGGAAGGAGTTAACTTAGAACACGATAAATAGAGATGGACCTAACAAGTGCTAGAAATTCGACGAATTTTTCAGCATGCACGCACTGTTTCTTCCTCCTTTACTGAATGTGGGGCCACTTGGTCCCCTCTCAGCTGAGGCAGCTGGGCAGGTCTGCTGAGAAATGCTTTAAGAGAACAGAGGGCACACTCCTACTGCTCGTTTGAGGAAGGAGGGGGCTCAGGCTGGACAGGAGGAGAGTCAGAGAGGGAAACTGCCTTAAAGTTTACTAAAGGTTTTCCCACACAGCATCTCATTTTATTTTGATCCACAGAACATGCAGGGAAGATATTAATGTCCTCACTTTACGGGTGAGGAACCTGAGGCTGAGAGGTTCAGTGACTTGAGAAGGGGCACGAAAGTAAGGGGTTCAGGGGAACAGATAGGAAAGTCTATTTCTAGTTTCGTGTCTGTGTGTCACCTTGGTAAAACTTGGATGGTGAAACTTAAAGGTAAAATGAGCTTATGCAGGGAAGGTCTCCATTGAAAGTCTCTCACAAGGAATACAGCCTGTTTTTCAGAGGCTTGTGGCCTACTGAGGCCTAGGAGACTTGGTCCCTTCTCTGAAGTAAAGCTTACAGCCCAGTTGACAGAACATACAAGAGCTGGTTAATATAATACTTACTTAACCAGTGCTAAGGAAACTGGATCCTGGGGCCTTGAGGAGCCACGTGAGCAATCACCCTGGACACTATTTTGGGGTCAAAGACTAAGGCTGGGGAGAAGGTGACTCCAGATCTACTGTTCACCTGCAGACATTTGGTCGGGGTGGGGGTGGGGGGCGGTACTCAGTGAAAGGGGCTTGGTCTGGACAAGCGTTAGCCCTCCTCAGTGGAAGTCTGTTGTCTGGGCCTCAGTATTCTCATCTATAAAATGGGAAGAAAGGGGTTAGCCTACTTCCCAGGGCTATTATTCGGATTAACATTTTCAGGTTTGTTATTTTTTTAAGTTAATTGGCAGTGGTGCTAAGTGCCTCACAGAATCTACCAAGCAGCCCCAAGTGGCAGGTATCATATCACCTTTCCAGAGATGGGGATAGAAGCTAAGAGAAAGCGAGAAGCTCGCCTGAGGTCCACAGCCTCTGAGTGGTCAGGTCAGGCTTCAAATCCAGATTTGCCCAAAACTCGGGTGTTTCAGGGCAGTACTGGCACCTTATTCTAGAGCAGAGATTCTCACAGATACGAGGTATGCTTGATCTGCTCGTAGTCACATACTTTTATTTATTTTAACATTTCAGATAACATTAAAAGCAGGCATGAGACTTTTACATTTATGAAAAAGAGAGCAAAAAATTATATATTGCGAATGCATGCTCTAAATGTTTCTTCCACGGGCACACAAAGGAAGCTGTGAAAGTTAGTGCCGTTCCTGGGAAATGGGTGCTCATAAATTGCGGTTGCCTCTAATTAAGAAGCCAGCATGTCACCCACATGGTTGTCATCAGCCCTGGTCTCAATGTCTCTGACTTCCCTTCCCTTCCAAAGCCGCCTTTGATGTTTATTCTAATCTGATTTTACCTGAATAAACGGGTGGGGGAAGGGTGAGGGAGGGGCACAGTGAGTCACCCCCTGCACCCCAGGCCCAGAATAGCCTTGCACAGGTTTTGAGCTGTAGTTACATGGAGCAAAAGAGGCAGGCTTCTGCTTGAGCACTTATTTTATTACAAGCTGTGGAAATTTTTCATTTTACTGGTTAAAAATAAGAACCTCCAAAATTCCTTGATATTGTATCTACTTTTAAACAATGTTCACAAGGGAAGCCTAGCCAGCTCCACTAATATGAACCTCTGCATGGGGAAAAGTGAGTCCAAATGTGGAAGCTGCTTCAAAAGAATCTGTTCCCCAGTATATTTTGGGAATCTCTGCACATCAGTTCCCCCCTTTTAATTGAGGATTTTTTTTTTAATACAACAAGGTTTTGAGAACTTTTTAGATCAAACCCTCCCATTTCCCCCTCACTTAGAATTGGTGTTTGTCAATATTTTGTTGTATTCCCTTCAAGTATCTTTGTAACCAAAGAAATAAAATTTTCTGGATGGAGTCGAGTTCCCACAACCCTTTGGTGCTCTGCAGCTTGCCTTTTTCACTCACCATTAAGCTCTTGAGACCTCTCCGCGGTGACGTTGCCGGAGCTGGTTCATTTCTTTTACCCGCTCTGTGCTGTGGTGCTCCCACACCACGATGGGGAATATCGCACCCCACGATGGGAGGAGAAGCAGAAATGGGAACTCTCAGACACTGCCGGGGCACAGACAGCAGTGGTAAACCACTCTGGAGAGCAGTTTGACAGCAAATGCTGAACTGAAAACGCACCTGTAGGCCAAATGACCCAGCAGGTTCTTCACGTCCTAGACCTGGAGAGCTTCCTGTACGTGAGTTTGCAAGGGGATGAGCATGGAGGTGCAGTGCAGCACTG